TAAGTACATGTAACGTGTAACAAGGACACCTTAAAATAGAGTGTTACCATTATTTTCAACTTGAATGGGGCCAGGAAACGTTCAAATACTCACTGTTTCAATAAAATAGCCACAAGACATTAACAGTATACATGATTTTAGCATGATAGAATTACTCACTAACCTTTTCTGAGTGAATTTATATTCAATTTTACAACTTCATTGCCATGACAACATACCAACAAAAACCCTAAAAAGGCCATACAAGTGACAACTACACCTTTACAGCTCAAATAATACACACGTTTTAATAGAAGAATAAATGTGAGTGCTATTATTAAATTATAACCTTCACATTTCTGCTTTTAAATCCTCTAAATCTGACTTCCATTGTAAGTGCTCCACCATAACCTTTTTTTTCTCGCTTTTTTATAAAGAAAACAAGGGATGACTCGAAATTAATTGAGCTTAACTCATATTGAACTAGCAATAAGTCTCTTAAACTGATATTCTGGCCTCTAGTTATGGCTTGGGTCCCTCCTTAAAAGATTTTGATGGGTTTTATTGTCCACAGGTGAAAATCATTCGTTTTCAAAAGTAATAGCACCCTTTATTATTTTCTCAATAAGCCGCACAGTTTCAGGTATCATGCCCAAAGCACAAACAACACAAGCTATTCTAATGTCCTGTACATAAGTGTTGTACATCAGCTCTCATTCTCTCTCTCCTCCGCTCAAGTGCCACAGGCTTATAATGTTCCTGTCAACAGCAATCCAGGAAACCAAATCCAAAAACAAACCCCACAACAACACCTGGTTTACCAGCACCCCCCTTCTGCATTCAGACACTCCGTCCTGACTGGAAACACAGCGGAGGGCTTCGAGAGAAGAGAAAAACACTTCGTTTCTCCAGAGACGCTTTTCTCTGGCTGTTTTTTCCTCTTTCTGAGGGTGAGGGTGAGCATCGATATCCTCCACTGAGTGCCGTATCAGTCGAGCCGCCACTTTGTTCTGCCTAATTATGGCGTTAGCAGGAAATAACAGCACAAATTGCTGCTAATAATTAAATGACAAGTCTGATCAGAATCTGCTGATGTGTTAGTAATGCTGCTAGAATGTGACAATAGTTTCCATGCCTCAAATGTATTACTAAAAACTAATGTGATGAACAGATGTATGGCCACACATTTAAAACAGTTTCTTTAAGTTTAGATTAAAAAATCTAATCAAATAAATAATTTAAATAAAAATTGAATAACATTATATACATATACAGTATATAATAAAAAGGTCACACTTTATTTTAAGGTCCAATTCTCAATATTAACAAAGCATTAATAAGTTAATAGTAAGTAATGTAATTGTTAAGTTTAGGTACTGGGTAGGATTAGGGATGTAGAATATCGTCATGCAGAATATGTGCTTTACAAGTACTAATAAACAGCCAGTATGTTAATAATAGGCATGCTAATATGCAACTAGTTAATAGTGAGAATTGGTCCCGATACTAAAGTGTTACCAATAAAAATAGTTATTTCATTTCATTACATCATGAATTCATTATAAATACACACTTGTATAATTACGGACTATAATAAGGACAACTGTAATTAGAATTCATTCTAGATTAATATTACAACCAATACTAATTACCTAATTACATAAATTTTTACCTCATTAAAAAGTCACAAATCCAGTCATTTGCTGTGAAAGATCACAAATTATGCCACCTTTGATAATTGTGGCCCATTTATAAGTTAATATTTTCAGGTGTTATATTACAATTAATACTGTACCTCCATGGAAGGGTGGTACATCTATGTAAAAGTATTATGTAAAGGTTTTTAGATGATTTACGGGAGTTGTTTTTACACATTTAAGCAGCTTGACTTCATCACTTTACTGTGTGTTGTCTGTTCTTACTGGAATACACGCAAGTAGCTGAAGAAATGCAAGTGGAAAGGAGGGATTGTTCGCTATAAACATTCAGAATAAGTTCAGCTCCTCAAGTTTCACAATATGTTGATACTGCTGTCAGGGAAAATAGACTGAGGCATCCTGACATACATGTGGATGTCAGTTCTTTTAGCGCTGCATGGATTCATGCATGGAATTACAGCAGAAAGACCCGAGGGGTTTGGAACACATCCGGATGGAGTTCAAAATAAACACTTTAGTTCATTTAACATGTTTAAAAGTGTAAATGATACCAGTAATTACCATCTGGAAGGAATACATATTTAAAAGTTACACTATTTATTTTTTAAATGTAGTCTATTATGCAACAAGGCTGCTTTTATTTGATCAAAAATACAGTAAAACCTGTAATACTGTAAAATATAATTATTATTATAAAACGGATAGTTCCGGTCCTTAAATCTGATTGGTTGAGCCGCGTTCGAAGCTGTTGTAAATTACTCTAAACACATACACCTTTGTTTACTTTGTGTGTTGCTTGGCAACCATTTTGTTGGAACCACAACTGTTTCTGATGAACTACATTGTTTGGTGGAAGAATACTGTTTTTATTAAAGGGATAGTTCACCCAAAAATGAAAATTGTCATTAATTACTCACCCTCATGTCGTTCCAAACCCGTAAGACATTCATTAATCTTCGGAACACAATTTAAGATATTTTTGACGAAATCTGAGAGCGTCACTTGTGGACGCGCGTTCAAAGCAGTACTATGACGCAAGTGTGTGGCGGCACCGGCCCAGTAGCGCCATACGTATGTGTTCAACGTCATCACGCCGGATCTGGGTCAGCGCCGGCGCCGCCACACGCTCGCATCATGGTACTGCCGTGAACGCGCGTCCACAAGTTACGCAGTAGAGACGAAAATGTGGAATAAAGTTGTTAATTTTGTTTTCGTTGCGCAAAAAAAGTATTCTTGTAACGTCGTAACATTACAGTTGAACCACTGATGTCACACGGACTACTTTGTCGATCATCTTGGTACTTTCCTGTGTCTTGATCGTGTAAGGACCCTTGTTGTCTATGGGAGGGTCTGAAAGCTCTCAGATTTCATCAAAAATATCTTCAATTGTGTTCCGAAGATGAACGAAGGTCTTACGGGTTTGGAACGACATGAGGGTGAGTAATTAATGACAGAATTTTCATTTTTGGGTGAACTATCCCTTTAATATCATTACACTTTATTTGCTCTGTTTTATTTTGTGAAACCTAACTACGTATATGGAATAACCGATTTCGCGTCGTGCCTAACAACGCCCCTTAGCTGTTATAAATTCACTGTAAAACATGGCTTCTTGGGGCTTACTGCTTTATTTTCAGCATCATTACTCCAGTCTTCAGTGTCATGATCCTTCAGAAATCACTCTACTATTTAATTTTTTTAAACTAATACTTTTATTCAGCAAGTGAAGACATTCATAATGTAACAAATAATTTCTTTAAAAAAAAAAAACTTTCTAAAACTCTAAAACTTAAAAAAAAATCCTGAAAAATGTATCATGGTTTCCAGAAGAATAACAAGTAGCACAACATAGATAACAGTAAGAAATTATTTTTTGAAGGATCATGTGACACTGAAGACTGGAGAAATGGCTAGTGAAAATTCAGCTTTGCATCACATGAATAAATTGCATTTTAAAATGAAAATGGTTATTTTAAATTGTAATAATATTTCACAATATTAGTGCTTTTATTGTATTTTTAATCAAATAAATGCGGCTTTACCCTGTTGGACCAGCTCATAACCAGCTTATAACCAGCTCAGGACCAGCTTAAGACCAACTAAGGACCAGCTTAAACCAGCTCAAACCAGCTTCCATGCTTCAAAACATACCTAATCGACATATGCTGTTTTTTCAACAGGTTAGTGAGCATAAGACTTTCAAAAAAAAAAAAAAATAATAATAATAATTAATGATTCCAAACTTATGAGCAGTAGTAGTGTATAGTCTTCATGAAATATGATTGTTAAAAATGTGACAGTAAATCCACCTCTGCTAAAGTCCAACTTAAATTAAATAAACTTAAAAATTAAATAAATAACCTGTATAACAAAAAGAAATAAAAACAAGTCCTTTGCAAAGAAATGTTTTTTTTTCCCCATGTTACGTAAGAATGGTTTTACGAACGATTCACACAGAAATTCATGTTCACGTTTCATGAATGAGGCCCGTAATATCCCTATTAACTCGCATTGCTCTCAAATCGCATCAAAGTCAGACGTTTGTTGGCATTGGGGACGGCGAGATGAGCAGAGGGATTGAGAGAAATGTGGACGCACATTTTAAAGAGCTCCTTCCCCCCCCGGAGCGGCTGGCAGAAATAACAACAGAGTCATCTAAAATCAATCAGCGGGGCCGGCTAAAGGACTGCTCCGGCTACTCCGCGCTGCGCAGATCGATACACGCGCTGGCCATTGTGAGAGCTAAATTGCCACTACCATCAGCAATTTAGAGAACTGAAGCTAAAAGGCAAGAAGAGGAGAGAAGAGCGGATACGACGTTAACGTATCTGAGCACGACGCAAAACGACACATGCGGTTTAGTCGCAAATAAAAATACGCAAACAAACACACAAGTGATGCCCAGTGGTTTGGGATTTGGTCTAAAAGCGATAAAACAATTCCTCTGAAACAGATTGAATTCCAAAGGAAGGAAAGATGAAAAGAGGGATGATGAGAGAGAAAGAGAGAAAGCAAATGCGCGCACAGGAAAAAAGCAAAGAGGCAACAGAAATCCAATAGTTTAACCTCTGTTTGAGCTGCAGTGGTGGCCAGTGAAGGACAGAGGGGGAAAATCAATACGAGCTGATTTGCAGAAGGTGGAAGAGTGGGAGGAGGAGAGAAAAGGAGAGCGAGAGAGATGGGAAAAAAGACGGACAGCACGGATCAAAAAATACAGATTCCACAGAAGAAAGAAAAATCAAGCATAAATGAGACAAAATGTTCATATATGTGGTTTTACACACTGGCGTCCGTCGTTCATTGATGGGTAAGGTTGGTATTTTTAGACCTTGCAGGTGGGTGAGCGAGAGAGGGGGGTCTTACCTGTCGGGGAGAGCAGACTGGGAGAGAGCAGCCCGTGAACGCTGTGAGGAAGCAGACGAGAGCTGTCCTGCATCGCCATGCCGAGAGAACGCTTGGGAGGACGACCGGGCCGAGAACTGCACAGAAAAAAAAACACAACAGGGGTTTCATATGACATCAGATACATTTGCATCTAAATTTTTGCTTGATCGTGTACAGTAGGTCACAGGGACACATGATTGAGAGATGTATTTTGATTGGTGAACACCAAATATAGGCTACTTATGGGTCAATGACATGACCCTCATTCATTAAAAAAAAAAACAGCAATTCTTGAATACACATGATGACATGCTTGCGATACATTGCCCACAATACATAGCCTTTTTCATCTTTTTTAATTATTTAATTTTTGATAAAGTCTTGTTAGAAGAAAGAAATTCTTGACAAGAAAAATACTTAAATGGTATAATTATGAAAAATGCTTATAAAATTATTTTTAACAATAAATTCTTCACTTTTTTTATAAGTAGTAATATTTTTTTTTTTTTAATTTGTGGTACAACCAACATAAAAAAAAATATTTTTTTATGAGAAGGAAAGGTTAGTTCTGGTTGTACAATGCCATGTTGTGTGACTCCCTAAAAACTTAATAACATTTATTATTAATAGAAATTCATGATATTTGTATGAAAAAAACTTTTACCCTAAAAACCGTAATAAAAACCCTTTTACCCTAAAAATGTTATTACTTTTCATTTGATTCTTTTCTAGAGTCACCTTCAATTTCAGAGTCATTAAATTTAATCTTTTCTTGAAATGTAGTGTTTTTTTAGGGCTGTAAGTCAATTAAAATGTTTAATCTAATTAATTGCATGGTGCAGCGATTAATTAATCCAATTAATTGCAAACTAAACTTGGCTGTGAAAATACCCACAAAAGATTATTAAAGTGCCCCTATTATGGGTTATGAAAGGTTCATATTTTGGTTTTGGGAGTCCCCAACAACAGGTTGACATGCATGCATACATTGCCCACAATACATAGCCTTTTTCATCTTTTTTAATTATTTAATTTTTGATAAAGTCTTGTTAGAAGAAAGAAATTCTTGACAAGAAAAATACTTAAATGGTATAATTATGAAAAATGCTTATAAAATTATTTTTAACAATAAATTCTTCACTTTTTTTATAAGTAGTAATATTTTTTTTTTTTTAATTTGTGGTACAACCAACATAAAAAAAAAAAATTTTTTATGAGAAGGAAAGGTTAGTTCTGGTTGTACAATGCCATGTTGTGTGACTCCCTAAAAACTTAACATTTATTATTAATAGAAATTCATGATATTTGTATGAAAAAAACTTTTACCCTAAAAACCGTAATAAAAACCCTTTTACCCTAAAAATGTTATTACTTTTCATTTGATTCTTTTCTAGAGTCACCTTCAATTTCAGAGTCATTAAATTTAATCTTTTCTTGAAATGTAGTGTTTTTTTAGGGCTGTAAGTCAATTAAAATGTTTAATCTAATTAATTGCATGGTGCAGCGATTAATTAATCCAATTAATTGCAAACTAAACTTGGCTGTGAAAATACCCACAAAAGATTATTAAAGTGCCCCTATTATGGGTTATGAAAGGTTCATATTTTGGTTTTGGGAGTCCCCAACAACAGGTTGACATGCATGCAAGGTCAAAAAACACTTTCAATATCTTATAATATGGAATTTACCTTATTTGCTTAACGACTCCCAACGATTCGCTCAACGATTCATTTTTCCAAACCCCTCCTTTGTGTGACGCTAATCTGCAGTGATTGGTCCAATTGGCGATTTTATTTACATTTCATAATAAAAGCAGCGTTTGTGAGCGCAGTGCTGCTTTGTGTAGTTTTTACTGGGGAAACTGCTATTTTTACCGCTCCAAAAGCAGCACCTAGTGGCAAAGAATGAATTTGTATTTTCATTCAGACCAAAGCGAAAAGACCAACTAGTGGGCGGGAAATATGCTAATGTTTCATGTTGACATCAACATGAAACGGCTTGGGATTAGTTTTAAAAACGACTCGTTTCAATGATTCAGAGTCGACTCTTTCTTTTGAGAGACAATAACTTTATACACGGTGCACTTTCAAGATTTAAAACTTTGCAGGATGTTTTTTTTATTCACTTAGAGCTGTGTTACACACTGCATGAAAGGTCATTTTCAAAAATCCATAATAGGGGCACTTTAAAGCTATTATTGTGTTAAATGAGAAAGTATCAAGTAGACATTACAAATAGTAGCTTTAGAAATAAATATTTAGTTTGATTCAACATAAAATTTATTACACATAAACGTTTAGACTACAACGGCCTAACATAAACTATGGAACATAAAAGAAGATAATTAGAGAAACATCTCAGTAATTTTTTCCCTGGTAATCAAAACAACTTTGTCTTCAAAATACCTTCTTTTATGTTGCGCAAAAGAAAGTAAGTAATTCATGTTTGAAACGACACAAGGGTGAGTAAATGATGACAGAATTTTTTATATTTATTTTGGTGAACTATCCCTTTAATGTTTCTGTGTTTATTTATTTATTTTTTAATAAATGAAATGAAACTAAAACTGCCAGCAGGTGGCAGTAAATGTCTTTGAGTCATTCATTCATTCGATTCAGATAATTAGAGAAACATCTCAGTAATTTTTTCCCTGGTAATCAAAACAGCTTTGTCTTCAAAATACCTTCTTTTATGTTGCGCAAAAGAAAGTAAGTCATTCATGTTTGAAACGACACAAGGGTGAGTAAATGATGACAGAATTTTTTATATTTATTTTGGTGAACTATCCCTTTAATGTTTCTGTGTTTATTTATTTATTTTTTAATAAATGAAATGAAACTAAAACTGCCAGCAGGTGGCAGTAAATGTCTTTGAGTCATTCATTCATTCGATTCGTTCAAACGGCTGATTCATTCTGGAATTTAGTAAATGGCTCTTTCTATGAATGGGCTTTTGAATCATTGGTTCACATGATTCGTTCAAAACGAGGATTCATTCAGAAACTAAACACCGCTGTGTTGCTCACAGATGCACAACAGTTCTGCGGTGGCTTTATAGGTAATAATTTCATTAACAAAATTTAGCAAAAACACAATATTGTTTTAAAATATAGCACAATATTAACTTCTTATTTACTGAACAGTTGTATAAAATCCCATTTGCACTCGTGCTATTTGGACATAAAGAGCACTCCTGTGATATAGCCATCACTGCTCGTGTGATATCGTATAATATAAATATAAGACAAAAACTAATACAGGTGCATTTTTTGCCCCAATATCTTGAATTTTAGGGCATAACTGCATTTATGAAGTTGTTGCCTTGCATCATATTTGTCAACAGTCAACTTATGAAATGTAAGATGATGTACAGGTCTGGGGGCGGGCCAGTGCGTTAACTGTTAAGATATTTTAATTGCGTTATTTTTTCATAACTAATTGATTAAGTTAACGCGTTAAACTGACAGCTCTGGGGGGTTTTTTGTAACTATGAAGCCTACATGAATACAAAGGCTACATTTCTAAAAAAACAGGCTTTTTTTGTCTTTATCATCAGTGTTACAGTAAATGCTGCAAATGTGATTTTCTGGAAAGTTCAGTCTCTTCTGACAGACCAATGAAAATGAAAATTGTTTCAGAGCATAAGCAAGTTACTATTTTACACACACATCAAACAAACTTACATACGGTTACACATCATCCCGTCATGATAGATATGTGAACAAGCGCGGCTTTAGAATCCCGTTCCGCAAACGTACAACACGCTAGCTGCATTTATGAAGTTGTTGCCTTGCATCATATTTGTCAACAGTCAACTTATGAAATGTAAGATGATGTACAGGTCTGGGGGCGGGTCAGTGCGTTAACTGTTAAGATATTTTAATTGCGTTATTTTTTCATAACTAATTGATTAAGTTAACGTGTTAAACTGACAGCTCTGGGGTTTTTTTTGTAACTATGAAGCCTACATGAATACAAAGGCTACATTTCTAAAAAACAGGCTTTTTTTTGTCTTTATCATCAGTGTTACAGTAAATGCTGCAAATGTGATTTTCTGGAAAGTTCAGTCTCTTCTGACAGACCAATGAAAATGAAAATTGTTTCAGAGCATAAGCAAGTTACTATTTTACACACACATCAAACAAACTTACATACGGTTACACATCATCCCGTCATGATAGATATGTGAACAAGCGCGGCTTTAGAATCCCGTTCCGCAAACGTACAACACGCTAGACAAATTATTCAACACAAAACACAAACACACACTTATCTCCCGCACTTCATTGTGAGACGGGCTATCAAAGAGACAGGTACATGACAGTTCGAACCCTGCGCAAGGGTGCTGGCAGAGCAAAATAAGCCAGAAAAGCAAAATGCTAATTCAACTGCTGCATATCATTGGATCATGTCCAAGTACATCAAGCAGCAAGTGTTTTTCACCATTCTATTAATACTGCAGCGCTAACAAACACAAACCAACGCAGAATCACCACTATCATGATCATAGTAAAGCCAAGAGGAAGAACGCCACAGCAAGCCGCTTGTTCTTAATAGCATTACACTGGAGTTTCAGAGAGTAGTAGTATTACATAGAAATTTCACAAGTCATTCATGGCAACATGTGTGCATATATAGCCGATGTAAAAAACTGAAGTCAACACATAACAGCATTTGCAAACAGTTTTACATCCATTATGTGATGTATTTTTAAGCCTAACCTGAATGCAAGTTTGCTACTGATTGTGGAGAACAAATGAAATATCACCAGCACCAACTTACATTAATGTTACATTAATGTTAGCATGAACATACAATTGGTTACTTTTGATGTAACTTGTTCATAACATTTAAAAAAATAAGTTTTGTTCATTGCAAATTTGTGGAAATGTTTATTTTATTTTATATCACACCAACAACACTATCCAGCATTATAACATATTTGAGGTTTTCAAAGTTGGAAAAAATAGTGTTACTCTGGGGGAGTTGCTTGGGGGAGTGCTATGGAAGACTGTTTCTGTCACAGAAGAATAAAAAATTAATAAAATAAAAAATTAATACTTGCGAGATTTTTTCACAATTTTTTTAACCATGAA